CTACAGTCTCATGTATTCAAGCTTACTTGGAAACATTTATTTTTATTTCTTTCTCAGACCAGGGGAAACCTTTTAAATTCTTACTAGTCCTTTTATCCATTTTTCTTTTGCCACAGTTTGCCTTACACAAAAGCTTTTCTTACATCCACGTGCAGCTCACTAAAACAGTTCTTAAGTAAACTTTAAAGATACAATAAAGTGCTAGCATATGCATATGTAAAAGGGTTTTTTTAAGTAGAAGGCTATGTGACTATACTTGAGGGAATTTAATATAATAATATTTCAATTTAATATATAAATATAATTTAATATATAAACTTTTTCATGAATTATAGATTATAAAAGCAATACACTTCATAAGATGCTTAATTATAACTACCCTGTAGACTGCATTACTGACAATGGCTGTAATTTTTCCTTCCGTCAGAGTCTTACATTTAAGGAGAAAATGACAAGCCTTAAATTTAAAGAAAAACCTACTGATTTGGAAACCAGAAGCTACAAGTTCTTGCTGTTATCCTTGGTAAAACTGATCCATGCTGATCCAAAGCTCCTGCTGTGTGTGAGTATATCATACTGGTCATTCAGAGTAAAGTTCACTTTTGAAGCTACTAAATGAATAAAAATTAAAAACATAAACCTGGCATCTAGGGTACTTCCCACTCATTCCTGGTTATAATGCTTCTGTTCTTTCAAAGGAAAACCAACAAAACCAAAAAGAAAGTGTAAGAAATTTTACAGAACCAGAGCAACACAATGAAAGGGAGCATAAAACTCTGTGACTCTGAAGGGGGGGTACGGGCAGGAAGGAGAGGGGAATAGAACAAAAAGAAAAATAAAAGAAGGTGGAGGGAAATTAGCCATCATTTCAATGGGTAGAAAGACAGATGCGCTCTTAGATCTTCCATTTTCTCAGGTCTGTTTATTGTTTAATTTAAAAAAATATTTAAATTCTGTCAAAGAAATTACATGCAAAGGGTATCATAGCTTAAAAAGAAATGAGGTTCTCTCCTGAAGATCCAGAAATCCCTTTAATTTAATTACAGGAATGTCACTGTAGCAGTCAGTAACATGGTCAGTCATTAAGAAGTTTCACAACTCAAACTTGCTTTCCTTTTTGCTACTTAGAATCCAAGGAAGCAAGGGCCTGAGACACAAGGTAGCACGGCTGAATTAATTACAGGCCTGGTACAACTTGTTCCGCAATCCAGCATGCCGGATATAGCACAAGAAGCCATGGAGGTAAGGGATGAAGGTTACCTATGCCAAATGGTTAGTACCCAGACAGATCAAGGCTTTTGTAGAAGCTCTGAAGTATTGATCAGCTATGAAGTTCTGCTTCTTAGAGTTTGGTCTCTACTGGTCTTTTTGTAAATGTCTCCTGCATGGAAGGTTTTACAGGAGAGGCCTATAAGAAAATGTAAAAAAGCAATTCATACTTGTGACTATCCTGCACCTCTTCCTAGGGTCTGTTCACCCCTTGTGTTGATCAAATACAGTTTGTCAGTTCCTCTGTTCCATCTTTGCAGAGAGCACCATTAAGCTTGTCCTTTCCCTTCTATGTTTTCTAAATGGCTGTGAGAAAAAAGCGTAATGCAGTGGCTGGTCCTGTATTCTGTTGTGAATCAGAGGAGGTTGTAGGCCTGGGAGGGATGGACTGGATATTTTAAGGCTACTGAAATCCTCTTCCCACCAGCTTCAACTGAAGAAGCTAACAAATCATCCAAGTTACTTCTGATTTTCAGACTTCCATGCGAAGTTGCTGATTCTGTAGCTTTGCCAGTTCAGCTGGGACATTTGTCTGTTTTTCACGAGGGTGGGTCTCTAGAGCCCTTCGTAATCACTGGAGGCAGGCTTCAGCTTCTCCCTCTGCATAATGGAACAGAAAGATTGATTTTTTTTTTAAATCCATGGAGCCAGTTGTATTATCCTGCTGCCTTTAGATTCCTGTTCTGTAAGGTGCACTGTAGAGCGTGTGCTTCACTGACATTTTTCATGTTTTAGGTTTTCACAGGTAGGCTGAGAAAAGGATTAGCTCTACCTATAGGCTATTAAAGCTTTACGTGAATAGTTGAGTTGTGGTAGGTAAACTACAGCTTTTCTGTTAAACCTTGCCTCAAAAAGAATTGCCACAAATAGTGTCAATATACCTATCAATATGTGAAATACTTATTTCTTGATAGTTTAATGGTAAGAATTTGAGAATATTTCTTGCATAAGAACAATCCTCTTCGGTGTGAAAGTCTCTGGGGAATTTTATGTGGGGGTGGTAACATCCCTACGGTCATTTACGGGAACTTACAGATTGAAAAGTTTGGGCTGTTACATAATTCAATTTCTGCGTATTGTTCAGTCTTGATTCTTTATTGATCTTAATCCCTAATCTACCCGACTGTTGTCTTAGCCAACTGAGGATCGGCCTCTCATATTTGTTTAAATATTTGTTTAAAATAGGAAGCAATTTGAAATAACTACTTAAATAATGTTGCAGAACAATATGGGTTGGGTTTTTTTAAATGCCATTTTTAATAGCAATCCCTTTGCAGCAAACTTTTTTTAAAATCTGTGAGAAAAAATAGCTAAGACTTTCCTCATTTCTGTCTTTAACTTGTATTTTCACCAAAGTGAAAATTTATTTGCCTGCATATCGGACCCCAAGTAATAATGATTTAAGAGGAGAGATTTTGTTTGCTATAGTTGTTTAGTATAATTAAGGAAAAACAACTTCTAATCAATAATTTACTGTTTGTTTATAGCCTTTTATTAGTTTAATTTTTATCAGATAGTTATTTCTTGTGAAAATTGTCCTCAGCTAATTTACTAGTAGTTGGGTTTTGAGATTTTTATAGTTAATCTGACTAAATCAAAAGCAGAGATTAAGGCCATGGTCCACCAGTATGTTTGTAGGTATGGTCAGAACCTATTCTCATCCAAGTTTTTGCTTGTGATGGGAATGGTTACAAGGAGCAAAGTATTTGCCTGTCCTGACTTGGCAAAGAGCTTGAACTGCAGAAATTTTGTTGTTGCCACTAGAAGGTTATATTTGTAGGATTGGTTGCATTAATTTTTTTGCAGCTGGACTTTAAGTAAATATTAAAGCCCAAACCTATCTTTTAAAAACATTGTGTCTGTGTGTCTAGTATGGATTTGTATGGAAATACAAGGTAAAACATCTAGGTTGGGATTATGAATATGTAATAAAGGCTAAAATGAAATACTTTTGACACGGACTAACAATGAACTCTTGTTCTTCTAGAAAAAATGCTTTTTGTATCTCTTGCTGTTTCAAAGCCAATGTAATTACTGTGTGACTGCACCTACTCTCTGCCTGTGCTGATGCACTTTGTCCGTTTCTGCCTTTAAGTGAAACTGCTTTGTTTTGAATTTAGGCCTTGCTAGTTCTGCACCAGTTAGACAGCATCGACTTGTGGAATCCTGATGCGCCTATAGAAACATTCTGGGAAATTAGGTAAGTTAGAGAAATAGCTGGTTTGATTTGCCTTCTCTTTAGAAATAGCTGTGAATGTTTTGGGAAACCTATGCAACATCGGCATGAATCTGCAGCCAAAATTATTATGTGTGTGCATGAGAACGCTTTTAGCTTCCCAATAATGTACAAATTTAACAAAAATATAACAAACATTTTGCTGGCTTTCTTAGTGACTCTCTTCAGCCAGATGTTAAGGTGTACAAATGATTATTTTGAAAAAATAGAGACTTTTCCACCTTGTGCAAGTGTTTACTGCTTGTTTAAATTCTATTTTATCTTTTGGGGGCTGAGGGAGGGTAATGCCAAGCAATTGTAGAAGTGTGGATTTGCTCGCCTTGACTCTGAAGCCCTCTCCTAAAGAAGGTAGTAGTTTGCCCTGACCTGTAATCTCCATTTGCCTTTCCTGTGGATTTAAAGAATTCTAATTCATTAAAGTCATCTTGCTTTTTATAACTTCACAGCAGCTGTTGAGGTTGGTTTCTTGGAGAATATTAAGGGACATAAGTTCCAAAAAAGTCAGAATTGCACAAAATGCTAAACCAAAAAACAGGAATCTGTAAACTCAGATTTCTAAGAATGGCATAAGCTAGACAATTTTAAAAAGAAATATTTGGTGATCTAATCTGAATTGGTACAGATGTTTGTTTTAGAGGAAAGGGGACAACAGTCTAGAAGGAACGCTCTTACCAGCATCAGTGAATTAGCCTGCATGACTGCTCACTATGGCTCAAGGGGCTTGTTACGGGATAGGTTTGGGGCTGAGCCCTACCTAGATGGGCAATAACTGAAACTCATCACTGTCATTTCTAATAGTAGAAATGAGTTTGTGGTCTGTTCGGGCTGGGGGAAAAACCCATTAAAATTGACACTAATTTGGACCCTTTGGCAGTTTTAACAGAGAGTGTGAGGCCTGAATGGATATGAAGAAGGAACATCCCTAGATGTGTTCCTTCCAGAACAGAGTTGAGACACGTTGTCAGAGCAGTGTAGGTAAACTTGTACTGCCACTGTCTGTGCTGTATCTGTTCTGTGGATAAATGGAGGACTTCTGAATCGACAGCCCTGGAGTCTGGACTTCTAACAAGTACCCAAATTGCTTAACTTCCTCTAGGGAACTAAAAAGGCCAGCTGGGTGGTGGGAAGGGTCAGAGGGGAGCTTGTCATTTAAAGTACACACCTATATTATATCTATTATACATTTTAAAAGATGATGCTAGTATATGTATAGGATATTCATGCTTATTGCCTATTTCTATGTGAAATGTAGTAATATCTTCAAAAAGAGTGTTGCTAGATTATAAAGCTAATGCTGAGTTTCGTTTTGCTGCAGTTCACAAATGCTTTTTTATATCTGCAAGAAACTAACTAGTCATCAGATGCTCAGCAGTACAGAAATCCTTAAGTGGCTGCGAGAGATTCTCATCTGTAGGAATAAATTTCTTCTAAAAAACAAAGTAAGTAAACGTTAACATTTACCGGTTAGGAGCATTGAAAAGAAGCGCTCCCTGTTTCATCACTCCCTTTATTTAACAGGTTATTTTTATGAGTGGAAGAGATTTAATAGCTACACCTACACTTTCTGTGTTATGATTTCCTCTCTGCTGAGGGACGGTGCTTTGCGAGGCACCCTTGATTAGAATTACTAACCAACATTGGGGTTAGGATTTTTTTTTTTTTACTTTAGCTACACAGGTTGTCTTACTTGCCTGGAAAATGTATGTTTACAGAAACCTGGTGCCTGATACCTATTTGCCTAATGCGAAGGGAAATAGTCCACAAGGTGAGGAAAAGGGAAAGTTAGTTATGATTAAATACTCTTCTTCATGGACGAAATAAAAATTTCTTTTGGATCTCATGTTCATGTGAGTCCTAGAATTCTGACTTGCTTCTTTCTGATAATTTCAAGAGACTTTTTTCCAAGCCAAATGCACACTGTAATGCTATACTTGCTAGAATTAAAACCAGACTTGCTATGTTACTTTTCAAGTTAAAGATCTCCTAAAAAAAAATAAAGCATTTCTGTTTTTTCTGTCTGACCTGAAAGTAGCTGTGCTAACATGAGAAGGATACTATTTTACGTATAGTATATAGCGTGCTTAAAAAGTCCTCTTCAGCAAGAGGATTTTTTACCTTTAAATGACTCTCTTCTTCTCTTTTCAGCTTTGGTAGCTCTGTCACTGATGTACTTTCTGTCTGTGTCGATGCTCAGTACTAGGCTTTTTCCTTTGGTATCTCCAGTTTAACATATGTTTGTAAAATACAATCTTGCATCTTGCAGCTGAAGACCTTAGGCGTTCAGGCTTTCGGTGAATTCAGGAAGGCTTTTACATTTGGCCTCTAAGTGGAAATCAACTGTCCTTCAAATAGAGAGTATACTTAATATTATCGTTCTTCTTCCAGCAAAGAAGTAACATCTTGTTTTTAAAAATCTCTTTCCTCTTGGTATTTAGAGGATGTTCATTAGTATCAGGGTCAGAAAAAGATAATAGTTTTTTTAGAGCTCTGATTCACAATTGCAGTTCCTCCTTTTCTGATCTAACATAAATTATATAGAATAAAAGGTACGGTATTGCTGAGCTTGGCTTCTTTAGCCTTAATTACATCTAAATTATAATTATATTTATGTTAGTATGTATTCAGAGGGTTCCAAGAAAGGGAAGAAAAGGCATCGTTTTGTGCTTACCTCAAGGTGACTCCAGATAACTTCTTAAAGGGAAATACCATTCTAAGATACAATTAATATGGGTCACTTTATAAAGCCCTGAGAGCACCACTGTGAAAAGTACTGTGTAAATGTTGAAGAGCTTTTTACCTTCCTGAAATATATCCTTTGTAGCCTCTTTAAAAAATAACTCGATCAATTATTTTTCTTCCTTCTCTTTATAGCAATCAGATAGGAGTTCGTGCCATTTTCTCTTCCTTTATGATGTCTCTGGAGGTGGAACTAGTCAGATTTCTCTCGACCATGAAGAGATGATACGCTGTGCTCCAGGAGCTACCCTCAGGAAAGGGAAAGGGAATTCTTCCATAGTAAGTAATACATGATAACAATTCTTTTTAACACTTGGGGGAGAAAAACCTATGTGCGAGTAGAAATTAAATTTCTTTGAGATGAATTTTTAAAAATAAAATTAATTATTTCTGAGGAGGAAAAGACATCAGTATCCTATGTCATGTTTGTATCTAATGTGCTGGTTAGTAAGGATATTTCAGACATCAAAAAGTCACACCTTTTTCAAGTTAAAATATTGGTATTTTCTTAGGGTTGCACATAGCATCCCTACACATTAGTTTATTGTTAACAAATCTGAAATCTCCTTTTTTAAAGTATCAGATGCAGTTTGAACATACCATGAAGGTCATGAAATCAAGCATTTTAGTAAGGTATATACCCTTTGACAGACAAGTTTCTCAAGCCTCGTTTTACTACCAGTTCTATCTGCAGGCAAAAAACAAAGATGATGTTTAGAACATCTTTTATGAGCCAAAACTTTCATTCTGTTTTTTAATGTACAGTTTTCCAGTATCAGTAAGATTTTCCTATGTACATCTTGATCCTTATGGAAGGAGCGGGTTCTTGGCCACTGTGTTTGTGCAACAGCATGTAAGAGCTCTGATCTTGTTTAGAATTGCTTATTCCTACTGGGATAGAAGCAGTTTTAAAGGACAGTTTGGATAAGGCTGAATTTTAATAAAATTGCTGTATTCATAAGCAATATTACCAAATTTGGAATTCTCTGCTTCCCAAGGAAAGTGCAGCAGGATGCAGCGGAACACCGATTTGTCGCCAAGCCCAGACAAAATTGGAAGTCGCCTTATACATGTTTTTGTGGAGCCCAGATATTGAGGCAGTCCTTGTTGCAATGTCCTGTTTCCGTCACCTCTGTGAGGAAGCAGATATCAGATGTGGAGTCGATGAAGTCTCAGTGCATAATTTTTTGCCAAACTACAATACTTTCATGGAGTTTGCATCTGTTAGCAATATGATGTCAACAGGTAAGAATTATGAATCTATAAAATACCTTTCTGCCTGTATGATAAGACTATTATTTGTGTTCAGGTTCTTTAAATGGGTTGAGATTCTTGATTTTGACTCCTGCTTTCATTGAAATACCTTAATCATCAGAATTGCTAGAAAGAGTGGAGAATTTGGATGTCGAAGTTCATGAGGATTTTAAAGTGTAACAAGAAGAACCCTTTTCTTAAAATGTTAAGGGGATATGTTCCTCTGCTAACTTAATATATTATTATGTTCAAAGATCTCATATTTGATGTAGGTGGGTTTTCAAAAAACCTGGTTAAATGTTCCGTGCTCCTTTGTAGGGAGAGCGGCCCTTCAGAAAAGAGTGATGGCGTTATTAAGACGCATTGAACATCCAACTGCAGGCAACACAGAGGTAAGCTTCCTTCTGCAGTCACATGCTCTTTGCATGCATATTTTTTTGAAAACAGAAAATACTGTTGCTACAAGTATTTTTGAAGTCAAATCTTGGTATATTTTATTTTAGGCCTGGGAGGATACACATGCAAAATGGGAACAAGCTACAAAACTAATCCTTAACTATCCAAAGACCAAAATGGAAGATGGCCAGGTGACTGACTTTTTCTATAGGTTCAACTCTTAGAAATTCAAAATAACTATTTAAGGTTACTTATTTTAAGGAATTGAATTTTAATCTAGAAAATGAGTTTTGTAGGCAGACTTAAGCTCCATGAATGTATTCCAGAAAAATAATGGTAATCAGTTGTCCTCTATGCTTCCTAAGAGGCCAAGAAATAATTTGACTTTTAAATTGCTGTGAGGGACTGGAGACTGAGCTTAAAATTTAAAAAGAAATTGAAAAAAAGAATAGTGAAAAATCTGAAATACTACTAGAGAAATTATGAAATCCCTTTCACTGGAGTTTTTTAAACAAACTGCTGGCTATCATGATTTTAAACATGCTTTATCCTGGTGCAGAGCAGGCAATTGCCTAGGCAACCCCTTCAGTCCTTTTTAGCCTTGCTTCTTCAACCTCTCTAGAAACAGTCCCTCTCTATAGATTTCTGTTTGTACTATCACAATACACTATAAAAGGTGAATCTTAGAAAATTCTTGAGACTGGAATTGTAAATGGCAGGATGTGTTACAGAATACTTTACAGTTCTGATCTCTCACCATTAGTTATGTTGAATTGAAGAGATTTCGTCTTTGGCTGTCCTTTTTCAGGTTACTGAAAGTCTTCATAAGACAATTGTTAAGAGACGAATGTCGCATGTTAGTGGGGGAGGCTCCATAGACTTGTCTGACACAGATTCTCTCCAGGAGTGGATCAACATGACGGGGTTCTTGTGTGCCCTCGGAGGAGTGTGCCTGCAGCATCGTAGCAATGCAGGATTAGCCACCTACAGTCCACCTATGGGCCCTGTCAATGAGCGTAAGGGCTCCATGATATCCATGGTGTCCACTGAGGGAAACGCAGAGACTCCCGTTAGCAAATTCATCGATCGATTATTGACTCTGATGGTCTGTAACCATGAGAAAGTGGGACTTCAGATACGGACTAATATTAAAGATCTGGTGGGTTTGGAGTTGAGTCCAGCACTTTATCCAATGCTGTTTAACAAATTGAAGAATACCATCAGCAAGTTTTTTGATTCTCAAGGACAGGTAAAGTGTTTATCTATTCCTTCACATTTCTGTCTTACTAAAAACCATCTGTCTTGTCTCTCACATTGGTAATTGAAATTTATACCTGTTTGTGTTTTGTACAAAAAACCTGCAAGCATTGTGATTGTATTTGACCGTGTGCGTTAATAATTGTTGTGTTTGTGATTCCAGGCTATATTTAACATGAAGTAATTGAAAACATTCTTGAATTCTTAGTGAACTCTGAGTGCAGAATCTGTGAGAATGTTCTCAGAATTGTTATGGCTGGTAGTATTGACATAATTAATCTTGACATATGGGAATTCTTTTGGCTAGGTGATACTAGAAAAATGGTTGTCCATTAGATTTTTGAAATGCTGAGTGTATTTGATAAATACCCTTTTTTTGTTTTTGTTTTTTGCATGTAAAGAATTAAGACCACCAGTTTTCTTCCTGTAGGTTTTGTTAACCGAGACCAACACACAATTTGTAGAGCAAACCATTGCTATAATGAAGAATTTACTTGACAATCATACAGAAGGGAGCTCAGAACATCTTGGACAAGCTAGTATTGAGACAATGATGCTAAACCTGGTTAGGTAAGAAATCCTGCTGACTTTCCTATACAAAGTAATAAGTTTAAGAAGTGAGGCAGACCCTTCTAGTTTATAGCTTTTCTTCTTGCATCCATGGAGAAGCAGCAGCTGATTTCCTGATCCTCCTCCTTATGGTTCTGACAACTTTAGTAATCATGGAGATCCTTTATACTGTAGCATAAAGTACGCTGATGGAGGGTGAATTTTTTTTAAAGAACCAACCATTCCTAGCTTGGCCCTATTCTTGTAAGCATTCCTGGTTTCTTCTCTGTACAGTGGTGTTAGTGGTTAAAAACCAGCTGAAGGGCAGATTCCTGTTCAATTTTATACTAATAGAAAACTACTTTGACCAGAATAATTTTGGTGCTGGTCTTCTGCTGATACGGGGGCTGGCTTGCTCACTTGGAAAATAAAGGCAGGCAGCCCAAACACGTGCTAAACCCATGGTGCAAGTCTGCTGGGTCAGCTAGCCTGTAGGTTGCAGCATGGAGCTGAAAACATTTGTCAGCTGGGGGGGCCTTGCAGTATGAAGTATTTAATCAATCTTTTTGCTTTTTTCTTCAGGTATGTGCGTGTGCTTGGAAATCTGGTACATGCAATTCAAATAAAAACAAAGCTTTGTCAGTTGGTAGAAGTAATGATGGAAAGGAGAGATGACCTTTCATTTTGCCAAGAAATGAAATTTAGGTAAGTACTGCATTCTGTAACTTCTAGAATAGTGTAATGTGGACAACTGTAATCTTGTTTGGTTACATGTTTAAAAAAACAAACCAAAAACTGTCTCTCACCAGTATTCCTGGTACAGGGATAGTGCTCCTATCTTTGTCTTAAGAATCATTTAGAGGCTGGTGCTGCATTAAGATTTTCTTTTGATTGTGGGGTTGCTAAACATGGAAAAATTTTGTGTGCAATACAGACTGGAGTGTTACTTGGTATAATATGATCAGTTCATCTTCAGAGTGTGGTGGTTCAAACAGTTCTTATGCTGAATTTATAATAATAAAGAATGATACCAACAGTAGTAAGTGTGTTTGGGGGAAGGATTGTTAAAAAAAATCCCAAAGCCAAAGCTAAAGCAATGTATCTATACGTAACAGGAACAAAATGGTGGAGTATTTGACAGACTGGGTTATGGGAACATCTAATCAAGCAACAGATGAGGATGTGAAATGCTTGACAAGGTAAGAAAGAATATTATTAAACTGTTGTTAGAGTTGCTAACGGTGTTTGGGGGGGGATTTGATACTCACAGGTGAGCTGGCTCCTGTGGGCTTCCTGTAGCAGTAGTAATTTTAAGAAAAAGACAGAAATTGAAACTTGAGTTTTGTTGAGCAACAACAGAATTATATTTAATGTGTAGTCTTAACTAACATGGCTGTTGAGGTGGTTTTTTGTTTCTGTTTTTTTTAAATCTACTGAACTTATTTAATTGCTTTTAATACCTTTTGTGATTTAGCATTAGGATTGAGCGTTTTATTTACTAGAGCTGTATCTTCATATGATGCATTCTGAAAGATAAAATCATCAATCATTCATGCTGAATTTATACTTAACTCATTTTTTCAGTGACAAATTTGGTTTGCAGTTGTTGTCCTTAGTAGATAATCTTGCTTGAACCTGTACCACAGGGTGCAGTAGCTTTTTTCCTGAGGGACAGAACTTTACTAGAATAACTTTTTTTTTTTTTTAAAGATTCTTTTCACCTGCAGTTGGATAAGGAAAAGGGATGTGGTAGTGGATGGGAAGGTTATCAAGGGGAAGGGCAGACTAATTCTGCTGAACTGATTCACAGCTTCTTAAAACTCTTATTTTTCAGAGATTTGGACCAAGCGAGTATGGAAGCAGTGGTCTCCCTTCTTGCTGGGCTTCCACTACAGCCTGAAGAAGGAGATGGTGTTGAGTTGATGGAAGCGAAATCTCAGTTATTCCTTAAGTAAATAGTGACTTTTAACTATTTTTCTATACAATGACTCTTAAGTAAATGCACTGTATGACTTTTACTACAAACTATCGTTTTTCTTTTAGCAGAGATATTTCATTATCCAAACAGAAATTGACTCTTATATATCCCGCTTCACAAATCTCTACTTCCTAGGTTTATGGACACATTTTCTTTTAGAAAAAAATTATAAAATTTGGCTTTGTTTCTGCTTAATGCAGATGTATGCTTAATTCATGGGAGAGACTAGCTTGCTTTGATATTATATTTTTATCCATGAAACTTAAAATCTCTTTCAAGACGTCTGTAAAGGCACACCTGTGCAATTCACTTACGTGGTTTGAGAAAATTTGCATATAAATTTTAGGATGGCGCTTTTTGGTTGTTACAGCACATTTGAATGTTTGGACTATGCTACGAGACAGATTACTTGGGGCAGTTAGGAGATTTTTTTGGGGAGGCTTACTGTCTATTTGCTACGGTGTGCAAATCTGTATCCAAGTCTCTTTCTTTTCCTTTAGATATTTCACACTGTTTATGAACCTTCTAAATGACTGTAGCGAAGTTGAAGACGAAAGTGCACAAACAGGTGGCAGGAAACGTGGAATGTCTCGAAGACTGGCTTCGCTACGGCACTGCACGGTTCTTGCTATGTCAAATTTACTCAATGCAAATGTGGACAGTGGTCTTATGCACTCAATAGGTAAAGTAGTTAGAAATAACTGTGAATAAATGAATACATAATGAAGACATTGGTATTTAATTTATTTTTACATCTTCCTTAGTAGTTCTGGGTTTTTTTAATCAGGCTTGGGCTATCATAAAGACCTCCAAACAAGAGCTACGTTTATGGAAGTCCTCACCAAAATTCTGCAGCAGGGAACAGAATTTGATACGTTAGCAGAAACAGTGCTAGCAGATCGGTTTGAGAGATTGGTGGAGTTGGTTACAATGATGGGTGATCAGGGGGAGCTTCCTATTGCTATGGCTTTAGCCAATGTGGTGCCTTGTTCTCAGTGGGTAAGTTGATTCATGCATTTTATTTCCTACATTTTTGAAAATACTAAGACTTGAAATATAAATTAGTGCAAACATTAAGGGTGTAACAGGAGTCTGCTAAAGAGAGATTAGACCTACTGTTCATGGTCGTTAGCTTTTCCTAGTATATTCTTGAAAAGTGTGCTGAATCTAATTGTCAGAGATCTTGATTATAAACTGCATTTTTATAATAAATTTTTAGCTAATATCTAGGAAAAATTTTATGTACCATTATTTTAATAAATGTATGTTTGGACTGGTTGTTTATTACAGATTGTGTGTGCTGTAATGCAGACAAACGGAACTGTATTTGCTCCTCTAGATTTTGGCAAGATCAATAGGGTGTTGTTATACAGCAGAATAACTGCCAATGTATCTGGACTAACCATTATGGATTCATATGACTGGATATCACAAGGCAGATTTTAGATAAGCAATAGCATAGGAAATATGTAAAGAGAGATTGTGTGTGCTTAACTTGATATTTACATGCAAGACTCCATAGCAAATCTGAAGCATTAGTACAAACTGCTTGGTGGAGGTTTTTTTCATAATTCTTTTTTTTTTGTACTTGCTTAGGCTCACTGCTAGTCAGATTAACGTTTCATTGCTTCTCTTAAGGATGAGCTAGCTCGTGTCCTGGTCACACTCTTTGATTCCCGGCACTTGCTCTACCAGCTGCTCTGGAATATGTTCTCAAAGGAAGTTGAACTAGCAGATTCCATGCAGACGCTTTGCCAGTAAAATAATGACTTTCTGTTTTAAGGTATATTACCTAATCTTTCTCTCTGCTACAGATCACTTCAATAACAGGAAAAGTTTAGCAATATAAAAATACAAAACTACCAGTCTATGGTGTTATGTGCTTGAGTAACTTTATTAGATGAAAACAGTACAGAGTTGCCTGTGGGTCTCAGTTTAAGTTAGTCTCAGCTCTCACATCTGTTAAGTTTTGGGAGATTTGCTTTTAATGTTTTAACGTTTGATGAACTAATTCTTGTAGATCTCTTATGCTCAGGCCCAAGTAAAAAATACAAATCCTCCTGGACTAACTTTTTGCCAGACTTCATTACCCAGCCAGTTAGGCTTAAGTTTACAGTTAGTTCTCTTGAAAATTTCCATGGCAATAAATGTTTCATCTTGCCATATTTTGCATTGTAAAGAAGAAAACTGGTTGCAGTGACAAAAAGGTTTGCAAGATTCGTAGATTTCAGCAGAGATTACTAGTTATTTAGAAAACATAACTTGATTTGATACAAACAGCTAAATATTTGTAAAAGCTTTAGTTACCTTAAAAGTACTTTCCTAAATAATCTTCAGTCGTAGCTGGGCTTTTCAAACTTCTGACTAGTTTAGTTATAGGAGTGATTCTGAGGCCAGTACCAGCTTGAAGACTGTTCCTGGTGTTCTTTTTGTAATGGGCAATTTAAAGATGGGGAGACAAACTCTGAGGTCTTGTTAATGCTTCCACTTCAGTTTAAAAAGCTGTGTAGTACTACACAAACAGAGATGGGGTGTTGAGTCACTGTGCTTTAAGAGAGAATCCCATCTGGTTATTGGGGTTATTGAAGTCATCTATAGTTTTCTCTAAATTGGAAATTAATTAAAATACTTGTAGAAATTGATCACAGATATGTTTCAGAAGTGAGACTACAATATAGAAACACCAATTTTACAGAAACCTGCTTTATGCCGAAACAAATCAAATGTTTTCAGGCTCTTTTAACACTTAGAGAATTTTGGAGTGTTCCTGTGAATTGAATCTGGCCACCCATTCTGATTTTCTTTCTACACAGGTATATGGTGCTACGTATTTGCAGAAGCTTTTGGAACCTTTATTAAGGACTGTAATCACATCGTCTGAATGGCAGCATGTTAGCTTTGAGGTGGATCCAACAAGGTTTGAGATTCAAGGGGGGGAGCAAATGTATTTATTTGTAAATGTGATTGCCAGTCATTGTAAATATAATAGGATTCTTTTTTCCTTGTTGCAAATACTTCTCCACTCCTCACTTTACCGGACACATTAATTGTATCTGCAGTCCTTATACCCGGAGAGGATTGTGCAGAGCTGTCCAGCACAGCGAGATGAGTTTTGCTGCATGTCCTCTAAGCCCTGAGAGAGTAAGGAAGATAGAGAGCTCTTGCAGGACCTCATCTCCTGCTTGCTACTTCATACTTTCACGTAGGCCACTAATGTAGGGATTGCCAGTAGTACCAGAAAGCATCTGCTTTAAGTCATTGAATTAATTACAGAAGTAAGATGGAATTTGTACGTGTTGCCTGTCATTTTTTTGCTTTAATTTCTTTTATATCACTTCAAGACTTGGATTTAGTAGCTGTTGTTCTATAGCTTTGAATTAACTCTTACAAAAACTTTTTCTCTTAAGTAGCTTACCAAAAGCCACTTTTTAATAGTTTAAATCTCAAATATCTGTGTCTACCTCAAACTCCTTTCAGAGAAACAATCAAACTGATAATGCAATTACCAGTTGAGATTATGTGTGCATGTCTTCGTGTGGGATGGTGTGAGAGAAGCCCACTTAAGCTGCCTGTTTATTACTGAGTGTTAAATGACCTTATATTTGTAACTTACATGGTTTACAATATTGACAGAAACTTTAGTGTAAAAGATGATAAATATTTCTGTAAGATTTCTGTTCACCCTGGGAAATAAGGTTACTACCAAAGGTACAAGTACAGCTGGTATCGTTTATTTGATTGCTGGTCATACATTTATGGGTCTGTTTCAGACTGGAGCCTACGGAAAGCCTTGAAGAGAACCAGCGGAGTCTCTTGCAAATGACAGAAAAGTTTTTTCATGCAATCATTAATTCTTCTTCGGAGTTCCCACCACAGCTTCGCAGTGTGTGCCATTGTTTATACCAGGTATGCCTGCAGTGGGTGCCTGCCCCTAAGCTTTGGGGGTTGTTTTTATCATTCTAGCAGTTTGGAGCTTGGTCCAGTAGTGGGTGCGCAGCGGGCATTTCTTAAAGACTGTTTTCAGACATTTGTTAAATAACAGGAATCTAAACATAGGGACTGAATGGTGTTTTAAGTCTTGGGTTAGCAATCAGGAGGTGCCTAAAAATTGGGTTTTTAAGGAGTTGAATTGCAGCTAAGAATTCAGACCTAATAAGCAGCAATAATCTCTGCTTTAGCATCTCTATAGGAGACTAAAGATTAGCTAGGGAGGTAATGGTTATACTTGCTTTTATCAGTCACCATATGAGCCATCTATAGGGAAGGCAGCCAAAAGAGAAAATAAAAAAATCTCTGCTGCCTTGGGAGAATGAAAAATTATGTTTTGAATACAGAAACAGTGTACTTGTTTACTTTTTATACAGGATCAATTAAATCAGAAAAAAATTAATTATTTAAAAGTCTGATGGATCATGCATTTGATAAACTTTAACTTGGGAATAAAATAGCTACTTGTGCAGTTACTGACTCTAGATAGTTGTTCTCTGCATAAAAATAGAGACAATTGCTTAAAGAGCATTTCTCTCTGAAATAAATGTTTCCAAAAGTACATGAAATTTATTATTTAGGTCATTGCTCCAGGAATATTATTTAGTTGTCTGTTATAGGTGGGCGCAATCTTATACTTTCTGCCTGTGATTGAAAAGCAAGTTAAAAAGGGTGTAAGATGCTCATAAGAAAAAACCTGTATGGTCTTCAGTGAGACCACAGTAGTTAGAAGTCCTAAATTTCAGAAACTGTGGATTGAAGCTGAGTATGAAGGAAGGGAATGGATGTATGGAACGCTGTTGGCTGTATCTGGGAGAGAATTGTTTGTGGTTACATTAATTATAATTATAATCCATAAAGAAGATCATTTGCAGGTGAGGTCAAGACACTGCATCATTCAGGCTTTATCCTGGTCACACTCAGTGTTGCGTCTCGTAATCCTGTTCTGAAAGCAGGAGCCTCTAGGTCGCTGTGGTCAGTGTAAGGAAAGCCATTGACTTGGACTGGGAAGGAGGTCCGCTGGCGTTTGATTTGCTAAATAACATTAGCCTTGTAACCGGGATGCTGCAGATGCTCTGTATTTTTGAGGATGATAGGTTCTTGTATTTGAGAGGTAGAACGACAACAGGAATACATTTTGGTTTACGAAGTAAGTATCTCCCATCTGCTACGGGCAGTGCATTCTGATGGAGGCACTGGTGCTGTCAGAGGCCTGGAGTACGTTGTTGTATGCAAAGGGCTGCTGTACTTTGATTAAGCGGCTGACCAAACATTTTGCAAATGCAGACTATTGAGAAATTCAGCAGGTAAATAGGAGGAAGAGAACCTGGAAGAGACATATAAATGTATTTATAGAGTTCTTTTAATGAGGCAAATTATAGACACTGACTTCAATTTGTGTCTAAAACTTCAGTGCTGTCAAACAAACCTTGGAGAGTTACCAAGCTGGGAGCACCCTCTTGCTTGTTTCTGGTATCATTTATAAATGATGCTCAAAGAGAAGAAACCTTCTCGAGTGGTGCACTGTCCTCTGTAGGGTAAGTTCTGTAGTGGAACCCTCCTGGCCGCCTCCCGTTCAAGTACCTGCATTCCCCAGCCTCCATCCCTGACTCCGCGGCTCTGTCCCGTTTCTGCTGCTCGCTGTAGCGGCTCGGCAGCGTGGCTCAGCCCGGCACGCTTATCAGTCTCTCTCTTGCTCTTTGTGTGTTTCTGATGGATTTAGCTGCTGCTAAAAATCCCAGTGGAGGATACTCCTGCTGCCCTTAGGGCTCATAGGAAATGCAGTTTCCGGTCCTGTTGGAGGACTGTCACGGAAGAGCTGTGCATGGCAGAATATTTGAGCTGTGGTCTCAGTTAAGGGGTCTGGACGAGCTATTTCTGGCCTTTCAGCCTTGGAGTCTGTATCTCAGGTCTAAGGTAAATAGATTTCTCTGAGCTGTGCAAACTAATTATGAGTAATAAAAGGTTCTACGCAGTGTAGTGGAGTCATATTTGTACAGCGCATGCTGGAGTGTTAAATGCAACCGCTGTGATTCTCAGAACTTGGAAGTGAGAAACAGTGAATTGTAAGTTGTGACCGTTGTGCACCTTGGGTTGTCACTGCGAGCTGCTGGAAGGGATTAGGTGTGCAAACGATGTGCCTTTGCTTCTGCTATAACCGCTTGTGCTGGTGGCATCTAAAGTCATCCGTTTCTCTTTCCGACAGTGGTTGTATTCAGGTTGGTGGGGAGTGGTTTTCAGTTTGGGGTTTTTTTTTGTTTGGTTTGTTAAATTAGGAAACAAGGGGGGCAAGCTGGTTTCCGTTGGTTTCAAATGGCCACAGTCTCAGAGACATTGACTGGGAGCGTATGCAAGCGCTATTGAAAATGTCACCGCAACCTTGGTCGTTGCTCCCGTTATTTGACGTTACGTTGTCCCACACCTTTCCCCAGGATCGCTGTTACTAGGATGTACCAGATGTATTTCCATCTCAGTGACATGTTGCTAGAAATTATTTCCGTGCAACCCCTTTTTAATTCCTATGTGGAATGGAGTTACTAAAACGTACTCACCAGTGGGCAGTGCCAGAGATTCTTCTATGGAAGCATGTCAAGTCTGTTGGCTTTATTCTTGCCTTTGCATTTTTTTGGTAACATGGGTAATTTGTTCCTGAAAGAGACAATTTACTGGCAAATATACAAGTGGTATTAACTGACACTCATTTACTATTTTAACTGTTTCTAGTAACACATATAGTTGTGCACAGATGTTTGTCACCAATAGTGTAATAATTCATTCTGTATTTTCAAATTCCAGAGAAGAGTCTGCCCTTTACCTGAAAAAAAAATACAGTTGAAATCTGAATATTTTTTTTATTAATCCATTTTTATCATAAGAACCAAATAGGTGATTTTTATAAGGTAACGTCATTTTTATAAGGCGGATGTATTTCATCCCAAGCAATAGTGTGATAGTAAATGAGACTGAATTTTGCAGTGTCTTTTTATGCTTAGAGTTTTAGAGTAAATGCGTGTGCAAAAAATACTCATCAGGTGTGTGCTGTAAATGATTTGTAGCTAATTTTAATCAATGTAGCAACATTATGGGATCGGTGTATTTGGTTGGATATTGGGGTCTATGCTGGCTGGGTTTCTGCTACCAGCACAGAGCCCTGGTAAGTGTTCATCTGGACCCATCACACAGCTGCTTACGGTCACAGATTCACCCCTGCTCATTTTCAGGTAATGTATGTGGTCATGTAAGCCTGATCAAAGTAACTTACACAAATAATTTATGCTGGCGATTTCATAAAAAACACGCAAGCCTACGGGATTTTTCTTAATAGAGATGGACATTTTACTTGCAATAAATGCAGCAGCCTGATGCACAGAGCATGTACGTGACTGCTTCAGGAGCTGACTCTGTAGAAACAACACGAAGTCAGAAATTTGGCAGAGGCATCGTTGGTTAAATATTAACAGGTCCTGCACAAATTTGAACTATTTAAATTTAACTTGGTTAGCAGCATAGCTTTCACGGACCTTTTTTTTTTTTTTTTTTTTGCTTTTTACACTCTCAGTTGTAGAAATTCTCTTCCAGTTCCAGTTTGCTGATGCTCTAAAGATTACTGGAACTGTTGGTGCATGCTTGCTCTCAAACTGCTAAATACTGCTGGCTTTCTGGTGATGCAGCTCCAGGGGCTGCTTGCTGTAGGGCTTCTCGGGGATGCTAATGTCCTGTCACAGCTAATACGGATGGGGTAGGATGCTCTCCAAGGCCAAACTTTGCCTCTCTACAGGGAGCAGTGCACAAGGCTGTCGTACTATAGCTTTGCTCAGCTCCTGGTGGGAAGTACAAATGTGATGCTTCTTGGTGGGTCCCTTTGCATTTAAATGAAATGCAGAAATAAGCACAATCAAATCGGGTATCTTGATTTGGAAATCTAGAATAAATTCATGGAGACCCGCTAGCTTTTTTCTTCCTCTTTCCACAGAGTGTTTTATGGCAGTGTTTAGCTCTTAAAGTAGTAATAACCATGATGATTCGCAGATCTAACTAAATTGAAGGACACACAGAGAAACATTGGGAAGATTTAAAACTCTAAATTTATTTTAAAAGTAATGTGTATTTCAAAGGTATAACACTTTACTATTTTTGCTATTAAAATTATTTGGGGATGGTGAAATACATTTGAAAGCTGAATATACCATTTAATGCCCAATACTGTATGTCATGAGGACCTTAATGTGGTTTGACTTTTAATCTAGCCAGAAATAGTAGAAATGATTGAAACACAACATTTGCTTGTTTTGTATTTAGCGCTTTGTAAATAAGATGTAATAAAATTGTGGAATAAAAACTCCATCATCAGTCTTTAGTTTATATATTTCATTTTCTGTTGGTTATGTTTGTTACATTTTAATGTGTAATTTATGTACAAGTCAACATTGGTTTTTTGTTGCTGTATGTAGTTGGTGCTGTGACTTGTTTGTGCTCATCTCTGTTCTGTAGGCAACTTGCCACTCTCTACTGAATAAAGCTACCGTAAAAGAAAAAAAGGAAAACAAAAAATCAGTAAGTTTGGAGACCTTTTTATTAGCCATTTCTTTCAAAGCACAACAGAAGTCTTGCTGTTTGTTCAAAACATCTTCACTTCAGTCTTATTTGACCTCACTGTAAAATCATTCTACTAATTCTGGCACAAAATAGCTTTCATTTCAATTAACACTGGAATTAAGTTATATTTAAAATATTCTCTGTGTGCCTATTTGAGTAAACGAAAGACATTTTTAACATTACTGCTTAGTATTTAATACTCTGATTCTTCTACCCTTGCCACCGTCTTCAAGTTAAAAAAAATGTGGAAGAAAAATGTTTTCTTTGCTTTTGGGGAAACTTTGGGTCTGTTCAGTTGTTTTAACACTCTGGTTGATAACTTCAGCTTGCAACCTGGGAGAAGAACAGTTAATATATGTGGGTTCCTGAAAAGAGGAGAGGCTTATAGGACTTTTCTGATACATTTTCTTTTGTTTGCCTTGTGACTAAGCAATAAAATTTAGCACTTGTATTGATTTACTGAGAAAAGCAGATTTCCCATTTTAAGTAACTTGCTGTGTTAAAGAGTTCAGATATGTATATTGTGATAGGGTGGTGTCATTAAAAGTTAAGACTTAATCCTTTTCTTTGACAGTGACCTCAAAATATAAAGTACAAATAAAACAGAGACAGAATGGAAATTTAGACTTTTATTAAATATTCCCTTATTTTTGCTGTAACTGAGCAGAGCAGTAATCATGTTTTAACTGCAAAATCTGTGTGCAAACTAGTACTTTACAAGAAAACACTATCAGTAATTCCGTCACAAGGTAACTGAATGGAGTTGGTACTGAACCAAAGTGATTCCTGATACATTATGTCTGTACTGATGGCTTTATCTGTCTTAAGAAGCATGACTTGAGATTGCACTAGTTACGTTTGGAGGTATTTTAGTAAAGTGGGGTTTGTTTGGGTTTTATTTCTTTTAAATAATATAACTTAAAATATGGAGCTTGCTAATTTTATTCTGTGAAAAGATAGAATCTGACCTGTTTTGGTTAACTGCTGTTACTCCTAAGAAAATATATGTGCCGATACTGAATCTTTATAGAACCACATGTAGCATATTGAAGAACTTATTTTTGTCAGGGAGCTTTAACTTTTCAAAGTCAAATGAAAGATATGTAGAGAATAGACTGTCCTCTTAGTGATACATAGTTGATTTCCTAAAAAGAAAGGAGATTTCTTTTTTCTTACAACATTTTCAGAAATTCTTTTTTTTTTTTCTAGATAGCAAAGAACAATATTTTAAAACTGTAGTTCCTCTAGCAAATTCCTGCTAAGTGATTTTTGGACAGCGTATCTATAGGCAGGGAAGTACACTTGCCGCTCAGCTCTGGCTCAGTCTGTCTTTCCTCCTTTGGCAAATCTGTTGAGATGTGATGGTTCTGAAGAGCATTTCTACAAATATCTTCTTCACACAAATTTAAAATTACTCCTGAAACTTTGCAGCTGAAGTCTTATTGTTGGAGAGGCTCTTGTGATTAATAGTGAGATTGTAAATAAATAAAAGACCACTCATTTAAAAAGAATTACCTGCATGGCAAGGCTGAGGGGAAGACTGTGCACACCTGAGTACGAACATGTGGCATTTGTCGGCTTTCCTGTCGGTGGCAGGGTGCTGGAATTGAGTGGTCAGTACCTCTGAGATAAACCTTCTTATCTTTGCCCAATAGCTAGAGCAGCAATTTCACCCTAGCAAGAAAGTTTGTGCGAAAGCTGAGGTAAAGCTGGGGCCCAACAGCCCCCGCGCCCCTTGCTCGCTTCCCTCTCGTTCCTGATTGTCCTGTGATGCAAGGCCTGTCAAGGCAAGAGGGGCCTTCTCCAATGTGTTGAGTTTGATTGGTTTGGAAAGAATGCTTGAAGTTGGATTACCATACAAGGCTTTTCTCAGCTTGCTTTCCCGTTTCTTTAATGCAAAAATATTCTTTATAATTCTCAACTTCATAGGTTGTTAGTCAGAGATTTCCTCAGAACAGCATTGGAGCAGTTGGAAGTGCGATGTTCCTTCGGTTCATCAATCCTGCGATCGTCTCCCCTTACGAGGCAGGGATTTTAGATAAAAAGCCTCCACCAAGAATTGAAAGGGGATTGAAACTGATGTCAAAGGTGAATCAATAAAAATTTTTATTTGGCCATATTGTATGTTCTGCCTGATTTTAGTTCTGTTCTTTGACCAGGATGAGAAAATTTAGGTAACTGTAGGGTTTTGTAGCAACCATCATGCTTATTTAAAGAGCAGTTTCCATACTGTGTTTATACGTCATAACGCTAATGTTATAGCTCACAGCAATGTAAGTATGGGGAACAGTCTGTATGGAAAAAAGACACTTTGCCAAAGCGGCGTGTAAGGTATCAGAATGCCTTTTGGCTCTTGAGCTTCTAACCTTACTTGAAAACAAAAGACAGACACCAATGTTACTTGGAGCACAGTGAGAATAATGGCAGTCAGGTATTCGTTAAGTTGGTACTAGCACTAAAGAAGTGATTTTTTTTTTCCTGTCTTCAATCTTATTTAGTATTATTCCCTGTAAAAATTAAAAAAAGGTTTAATGTTGGCCTACACATTCTGTGGCCCGTGCATATTATATGTTTTAAACGTGGAGAAATTGTAGTTTTCTTTAGAGAGGCATATGCTCCTGCTTTTACATGGCTGTATGATTTCCAGAGGAAATAGTTAACAGTTAATAAATCGTGATGATTTATTTTCCTGGTCTAAACCCGAATAAAGTTCATAAATAAGGGAAGTTGTTTTCTAGTGTTTAAAAGGATGTGAAAGAAAATATTTTGAAAGCAACCATAATTAGTTGGCTGCTTGGCCTCTTTGTGTCTTGGGGTTGCACAGCAAGTTAAAATGAGTTATTTCTGACAATGAAGTTACACCAACTACCATAACAGTTAATACATTAAACCTTCACGTGTCTTTACCATATTTTTATTATTTAGATACTTCAGAGTATTGCCAACCATGTCCTGTTTACAAAAGAAGAACATATGCGGCCTTTTAATGATTTTGTAAAAAGCAATTTTGATGCAGCACGAAGGTAGGCCCTTTGGGAACTTGCACAAAGAGTCTGTGTCGTGTAAAGAGTAAGCGGAGAACGTTCTTGCAGGCTTTTAATTGAGTCTTACTTGGCAGACTTCCCTTACACACTTACGGTTATTGCTGGTTTTCAATTCCAGGTTTTTCCTTGATATTGCATCCGATTGCCCAGCTAGCGACACTGTCAATCACAGCCTGTCCTTCATCAGTGATGGCAATGTTCTTGCTTTGCACCGGTTGCTGTGGAACAATCAGGAGAAAATTGGCCAGTACCTTTCCAGCAACAGGTAAGACTTCAGAAATGTTATGAAGGGAGTTGCTGATGGGAAACGAATATTTGGAAATGCTTTCAGATGCTTTTGTTATTATTACCAAGACGACTACCATGGCGGAGAAATCTTTGTGTAAAAATTGTTCTACGTGTTACAAACATTTTTATTATTTCTTATTTTAAAAAAGAAAATCCTGCCTGTTCAAGGTAAGGAAGGTAGTGGACAAAAAAATAGGAATTCTGAGTAAAGAAGGACTTTTCTTCTAAGTAATATGCTGTTTCTAGGGACCACAAGGCTGTTGGAAGACGACCTTTTGACAAGATGGCTACTCTTCTTGCCTATCTGGGTCCTCCTGAGCACAAACCTGTGGCAGATACCCATTGGTCCAGTTTAAATCTCACTAGTTCCAAATTTGAAGAATTTATGACAAGGTAATGAGATTATTGTGGAGGGGACACACCTTGTGGGTTACTAGACTTTCGCATGTAAGGCAACTTGAGTTATTAAGGCTCCAGCTTTCGTTTTGAAGGGGAGTTTAAAAAGCTGCGTCTACATGTACATATACCTTTTAGATTTCTGTGTAGATTTTAATTTCAAAAATGAAATTGAGAACTGGAGCTGGCAGTAACCTTTATGATTTAACAAAGGGTCAAGATTGTGCAAACTTAATACTTTTGTTTAAAGATGCAAATGAAGAGGGTTTGGGATGTTTTGGGGTTTTTAATTTTTCTTTTGAAAGGCGTTTATGAAAAGTTGATGTCGATGTACTGCTTTTTAGGCATCAGGTACATGAGAAAGAGGAGTTCAAAGCACTGAAAACACTAAATATTTTCTACCAAGCTGGGACATCAAAAGCTGGCAATCCTGTTTTCTACTACATTGCTCGGCGGTAAGGAATCTTTCACCTTCCCTGTCTGACATAAACATGTAAAATCAAAAGTATCGGTTGTATATAAGAAAGGGACACCAAATTTGTAACAAACAAGAGTCTGAAAATGGCTTATTTGTCAAGTTTTGGTGACAGTATTTTTTAATTGAGATGTTTCCTAAATCAGAACTGTCATAGTTTTTCCACTCAGGAGTATGAGAGTATCTGTAGAAAAATACCCAAAATTTTAAATACATTTTATTAATTTTTCACTTTCTCAAGTAAACTACATCTATACCGTATTACTGTTAGCCCTTTGTCAGTGATCGTCATTTTCTGAGGTGTAAAATGAGTAACAAGCTAAAACATGGGATAAAATTTCTCAGAATGATCCCTGTATCCCATTTTAAAGAGTAATACGAGTATTTAGCAGTTTCACGCATAGTCAAGACCATGGTGTTGCTTCGGTTTCACCGTTGCGTTCTAAGCGACAGTAATACAATGTTGTTGGCGATGATTGAGATCTGTGGCAATATCGCTAAAGTATTAAGAAAAGCAGATGTTGATGTGTGAGCTTTGCAAAAGACTCTGTTTTTCCAATAAGGCAAAACCTTGAAAGTTTTAAGTTTTCCCTACTCTGGCAGATAGTGATTCATAATGACAAGTAACATATGCAGCAGTATTGAAGAATCTGGGAAGAATATCCCAAGATCAGTGTTAGTCAATTTATGGTCAAGTACATCACAATTCTCTCTTTTAAAAAAAAAATAAAAATTAAAAAATTCAATAAACTGGTTTTATTTAAATTAATTTTTGCCATCATAAAGGTGCAACTAGATGAAGAATTCAACTGAAATTTGGTATTTCAATCTAGCTATTAAGTAACTGCAGTATGAAGTCCATGGAGGACAGCATGTTCAAAACAGTTTCTGGAGTAATTACACTCATTGCTCACAGTCAGTCCTTTTAAGAAAAGGAAAATCATTGTGCTCACAACCAAGTGCAACTGAAGACAGAACCGTGAAGATAAGATTAGAGCTGTTGTACTTTGTGCTGTGTTTCTGGTGCCCGTGCTTTTGGTAGTGGTGTTGCTGGTGAGGTGTGGGCTGGCGGCAGTGGGACTGTTGGTTTTGGCCCCGGCGGGGTGCGTGGTGGTGCTGCCAAGGTCCCTGAAGTTCTCACCAGCACTGATGGTGGCAGTGAGTCCTGATGTCAGTGTGGCACTTATGGAGGCTGGCAGATCCTGTATGGGTGCTCATGGTTGGATTATTGCCAACGCATTTTGTGCCAGCGGGGCTCTTGGTTTTGCTTCTGCTGCTATTGCCAATGTGGTTTTTGCTGGTGCTGCTGGTGGTAGCTGAGTTCATGCTGGTGGAGCTGCCTGAGGCGCCAGTGCTGGTAGAGTTCATGTGGTTGCTTTGGCTCTTCCTGGTGCCTCTGCTTCTAGCGGGCTGCTTGTTGGCGATGCCCATGGGGTGGCTGCTGCACCACTGGGGTGCCTGCTCGTTGGTCCCCTTGCTGCTGATGTGCTTATGTGTGGCATGATTAGGAACGGTTGCAGTCCCTGGGGAGCTCTGGCTTGAGCTGCTTCTTGGGGTAAGGCTGGGAAAGAGAGCTCTCGATGGTGGTGCCAGCATTGCTGCCATGGTGCGCTCCTTGCTGGTGGTGGCACTGCCGCTCGTGGTGCCAGTGGTGGAGATGTCATCAGTGGTGAACCTTCTGCAGACCCTTTGAGTTCATGTGAGAACATGAAAATAAGCAGAGGAAAACGCTTCCTTAGCAGTATCTTCTGCTTGTTACCAACAGTTTAAATAAGTAGTCGATACACATTTGCAAACAAGGTATTCTTAAAATTTTCATATTTCTAATGAAAATCATACTCAACACAAATGTAAGGTTTTTTTCAATTAATTTTATTAATTTTCATAGTTGTTAAATGTTTTCAGTAGTGCTTTTTGCTCTGTAGATTGAGTTACAAACGTGACTTTCCTCAAAAATCTGTGCTGTTATACTGGGTGACTTCGTCATTTCCCCTCAGATATTTTCAAGATTTCCAAATTTTCAAATAAGGAACAATTTTAATGATGGGAAGATTTTACTGTTTTACCACTGGATAATAAAAATACGTTATTCCAAATTCAGGTTGGAGGCTAAAATCATGAGCAAGCTTTGAAGAACCTTTCCGAGTGTAACCTCTAACTTGGTTTAAGTAGGGTTTCCTAGCCAGGATGCAGTTAGAGATCCAACAAATGAATGTATCTGTTCACATTTCTTTTATTATGTTTTTGATTTTCAGAGCAACAAACAAACAAAACTTCTGTTCAGTATCAGTGTGGAAGGTAAAATAAATTTCACAACTGTTTCCTTCTTCTGGGACTTTGTATAGGCATGCCAAAGAGGTTTTTCATGCTTTAAAAAAAAAAAAAAAACAAAAAAAAAACCAAAACAAAACCTTTGGTTTCAAGCCGGTAATTAGGGGGGG